TCTAAAGCTCTTGTGCCTAAATCTCAATCGGTGTCCTCTTCCCCGGATGTGTCTAATGGTGTTGAAACTCCCCGACCCAAATGTGACATTAAAAAACCGGCCCAATCAGAAAACTATGTTTAAATTTCAAAAATAAGATTGTATAAATTATATTCATTTATCCTAGAAGAGAGGGATGTTATGTTAATACTCTATATTCATACATTTTTAAGTTTGTATTTTGCTCAACGTGGCAACGTTGGGGACAGGGCGGGCTACGACAGAACGGCGGATTGTCAGTCTCTCGCGGTTCGAGCTGGAGTATTAATAAATAAACAAAGTCAGTGTCGTAAAGTTTCAGTTAATTTCATACAAAAGAATCCTAAACTGAACAATAGGAACTGTCTGTTCTACTTTGTCAATGGAAACGTGCCGCTGAGCGTTAAAATCTCATAATAGAACTGATGGTAAGCTATTCAAATTTAGCTTATTCAACACACAGGCGAGTCCTGAATTGGAAAATTATCGCCAGCTCTGCTTGAGCAGTATACTTGAAATAAACTGGCAGGATCGCCAAACGAATAATAGAGAGTATCCTTGGTGAAACCAATTGCGCCAGCATTGAGCATGTAAATGGGATCGTATAAAAGAACGAAAAATAAGAGCTGGTCCCAACAGCCACCGTCTAGCTGGTTGGGTGTGCAATCAATATGGAAGAAATTCAGGGTTCAGAAAAGGTTTATTTAGCCATTGAATAAACGTCAAACAATGATGCTGTCAAAATTTTTATGAGATGCCTTAGCGAGTGAATATCTATGATGATGATGCTGATGATGATGATACTGAGCACAACACCGGTTTTAAAATTATGAATAAACTGGGAGGTGACTCCCAGGAGACGACTGTCCATCTTTAAACATACATATCTCCTGGTTAATTTCGGTAACTTAGAACTTTAAAAATAGCCTCGAAAATAGCCATTGTAGGAAACAGTTAGGCACCTGAGATTTATCTAACAAACGTCCGTTTCACATTCGGTGATACCCAGTCCTGGTAATTCAACTAGGAGTCGAGGGTTAACTGGGACTTTGCACGATAACCTGTTCCACGCTTACAAACTTACTTATTTTTCGAAGGGTACTTGATTTTTTGGCAGACGTGAAAAGACTATTCTAGAAAAGAACGGGATAATGCTTTCTACGAAGAGAAATTTGGCAGTGAAAATAAATGGAATCAACGGTTCGCGAAGTGCCGATTTTAAATGTGACATTCGATAAACAAAAATTGAAAAAAAAAAAAATAATGATTCAAGTGTGTTGCCAGGCCGTAACAATTCAACTATTTTTCTTGGCATTTTGCCAACATTTTAGAATTAGATATAACACAATCAAACAAATTTTCAGTGCTGACAATGAGTAGCAACACTGTCAAAATTCAAGTTGTGACGTAGTGCGGATAATTTACGTGTTTTTATTTAGAGAGTTTTCTTTAGTTCGCAGTTAGTTACTTTATCCAGTTATGTCAATTTCAGAAATTAGGAAAAGAGCCCATTTAAGCTACTTGCAGAGTATTCCACTTTTGCTAAAGCATTATTACCATTAATTCTAACAGTTCCAGTCTCCAGTGCTTCTATTAAAATATTTTTCTAAAATTGGAACATTATCATTACTATCGATCAGGTCCCTGAAAAAAAATTATCTCTTACTACCATATTATCAATAGACATGCGAAATTATATTATTTTTATTCGATTGGCAGCTGTGTCAACAACATTTCAGCTACTGGTAGAGTATCATTTCATTACCATCATTACCGATAATTCTAACAGTTCAAGACCCCAGTATTTCGAGTGAAATATCGTTTTCGAAACCAAAACATTATTATTTAACATCGACCATGTCCTAGGAAACATTATTTGAAACTATAGAAATGCGGAAGGTTTATTGCAGAATCAATTTTTATTGATAAATATAAATCACATTACAAAAAAAGCCAGAAAGTGTTGCACGTAAAATTATTACCTTCGGCTCGGCTCAATAAGGGCTCAACTGTTGTCTAGCTGGAACACTGTTCAGAAAAATGAACAATAAAGATTTATCCTTCAGATCTTTGCTAGTATCGTACTATTCTTTGTTTTGAGAAGATGCCAACCAATTTGAAGCTTTTGATAGCTTTATGATTTTTTTACACAATTTTTTGTTTGCTAGTTTGTTTAGGATCCGGGAATAACAAAATACTTTATTTTTTCAAGTTTCACCTGTTAAAGGCTTTAGATTTTTATTCTTCCAAATTATGTATAAAAATCCGGAATAAGAAACTATTCTTCTATGTCTAACTATTTTTGAATCTCTTCCAAACTTGTATTTTTCATTTACTTTTCTGTTCTTCAACTGCCGGGAACTGGAAAACTATTATTGTTGTGTACATTTTTGCCTGCACCATGCTTTTATAATTATTTAAATTTAATAGCACTGCACAAACACAAAATAAAAAAAATCGTATAGGTTCCTTCTATGCTTTCAAATCTTTAAGCCCTATCTCGTTACACATAGGAGATTCTAAGACACAAATTTTAGGGACTACAGCTCTCATTAATGGCATCAAAATAGTTTGTACTGGTAAATATAGCAAGGTCCAGAAAATCCAGTTTGAAATTTTGGACAAACTTTCGAGTAGTGGTTAACTTCGGAGCTCGATAGACGAAAAGTCCGATACTGTAAAAGCTTCCTACCTACTTCAATTAGGAAAAGTTTAAAGAGGATATGAGCAATTGATCCAGAACTTGTCAGTATTTCAGAATACATTCAGAGTCATTTATGATTTTTTTTTCCTGAATAATGCTTGTGAATAGTATAGCATCGATAAAGCGTAATTTTAGAGGTCTCGCAAACTCTTTTTTATATCCTCTCAAATGGGGTTTAACCTTAAAATACACATTGTCTCGCATCGCTACTCAAAATAATAAGGTAAATACGCCTAAATAAGGTTTTTTCTATTTATATTCTGACGTCATGAACACACGCAAAAATTACAAAATCTATTTAAACTGACGCAGCGATAGGGGTGATAACGCAAAAACAATACGATAATGCGACCATTATCGCGCGCGCGACCGCTCACCAGTAGTCAACATGTAGAATGATTAGTAAGCGGCTTTGTACCAACAAGTGGAATATACAAGGCAGAACAGTTTTGACTGGCCTAGAGCTGATTTTCATCTGTTTTCAACAAAGCCGCTGACTAATCAATCAACATGTTGAGTGCTGGTGAACGCGACCAATCTCGATAATATACATATGCAGCAAGCATGAGCGAACGCGCGGTCAGCGCCGGCCGGCGGACTCAGTTTGTGCATATGACGTCACACTGCTGAAAGTGAGTAATTTATATCACGCTATTTTCGCAACGGTTGGTCGTAGCCTGGTGCGGTTTGAAAATTTCTTAGATTTTTTTTTTTTCCTTTAACACACCTTTCACCTTAATCCGTTCTTAGAAATTTCAATGGACTATGAGTCTATTTTAACGTCTAAGAAGCCTGCATAATCCCATGTTTCAGACAAATAAAAATAAAACCCAACAATGATATTCAGTTCGGAATTATTCATTTACCAAACTACTTCAAGCAGGGCTATGAATTATAACTCTAATGTGATAAAAATCCTCAATATCCTAACGATAATTCTAACGATTATTTTCTAGCAAACTTCTAACAGTCCTTTCATTTCAACAGTCGTTGAAATATGAAAATTACAATTATGAAAATAAAATTCAAAAAAGCCCTCTCTTTTTATTCAACTATCAATATTATTATCGCCCACTTCAATCGTTTCGAGTGGCTACCTCGGTGGCTATAGTAAGTTCAGACTCTAATAAAATTGCTTCAATTTTTCATGGGAAGTTACGAAAACCATCATTAAAGACAAGGATTTTGTAAAGTTGATTATCATCAACGCCCCTTTTCATTTTATTTTGTCTTTATTCTAGAACCAATACAATCGATTAATATTGCCACTCCGGCCAGGTACGATAAATTTAGATGAATGTTTGAAGTTTTGGCATTTCGCATTCGTTTGAATTTTAATTTACCTACATAGGTAAGTACTTATAATTATTTGTGAAGTTGAGAGATTAGTCTTGTCATTAATTTAGTTTAGCATTTAGCATCTTCCAAGAAATATAAATTATAATTTAGAAGAGTAGTCGTTGTAATTGGTAATATACCTGAAACACTACATTTTGTGACCCCGACGTGATCATTAGGCCTAGGAGAAGACAACGGATTATAACCCCACCTCAAGAAGAATTGAGTGATGAAAAAATAATTTTGAGCCAGAATTATCATGCAAATAATAGAATTTGTGGCTTCAGTGAAATTACCGGATTTTTGGATTAATCATCCTGTGTTAGTGCTTATACAAGTTGAAGCAATATTCTTTAAAAATAATTTGACTGATTCAGAAGGTAAATACAATAACGTTATTTCTGTTTTACCACCTGAGGTAATTGGTAGTTTAAGGGAGATTTTGCTATCGCCTTCCGATAACTCATATTAAAACAACCTTATCTGATACTAAGAGAGTTCAGCAAGGTTATCTCAAACATCTTTCCAAACGGAACGGCCATCCCAGATTTTGTGTCGTGTCATATGAGACAGCTCTTAGACCGTTTTGCTCCTCTCGATTCATTACTAATTAGAAAACTGTTTTTTCAACGTTTACCTCCAGAGATTGGTTCAATATTGGCTGCTAATGAACATGCTGATATTGCTGAATTAGCTGATATTGCGGATTCCATGGTGGACTCAGGTACAATTGGTTTACCTGAATGCAACGTGCTTAAAATGACGCCGGATAAAGCAGATCAACGAGTTATTCAACTTTCAAAGGATGTAGCTGAGCTTAAAAAAAATGTTCAACAATTAAATGAAAACTGCCTATCTCAATCTAAAAAAATAATCTTAAAAACAATCAATCCTCACAACTTTGTTGGTATCACAGTAAATTTGGGATAAATGCAAGAAAATGTATCCAGCCATGCAATTGGACGGGAAACGAAGAAGCCAGCAAGTAGCGACGACATATTCTGTTGGCAAAGGACCCTCTGGTCGTCTCTTTTTTGTTAAAGACTTTAATAATAATTTCTCATTTTTAGTTGATACTGGGAGTGAGGTAAGTGTTTTGCTAATTGGGACAAACAACCATGTAAATAATAGAGACCTGTTTTCACATCTTACGGCTGCAAATAATTCAAAGGTTTTGGTCCATGGTAAAAATACCTGTTTAGTTAAATTTGATTCTGGTTAAGTTTTTGAATGGACCTTGTTGAGGGCTGCTGTGAAATATCCAATTTCAGGTGCAGATGTTCTAATTAATTTTAGTTTATCAGTAAACATGCATAATTTATATCTCATAGATTCTAATCACACTGTTATAGCTAAAAGTGCTGAATATTGTCAGTTATCAAATGAGTGTATGTTTAATAATTCAACCATTCCAAAAGAATTTCAAAATTTATTGTTAAAATTTCCCACACTTTTTGAAGAAAAAATCAACCTATCTTCTTCTAAAGATTAGACCTTTCATTTTATAGAAACTAATGGCCCCCAGTGTTCTGTAAACCTCACAGGCTTTCTCCGGAAAAGTTAGAAATTGCAAAAAAAGAAATCAACAAATTATTAGACTTAGGAAGTATCAGACCTTCGTCTAGTAATTGGTCGTCTCCACTTCATATGGTACCTAAAGTGAATGGAAACTGGAGACCCTGCGGAAATTATAAAGCACTAAATAATATAACAAAGCCAGATCGTTATAGTATTTCTCATTTACATGATTTTGTTTTTCAATTGCAGGATTGTAAATACTTTTCAAAAGTTGATTTGGTTAGGGCTTATCATCAGATTCCTATCACTGGAATATAATCATGCCGTTTGGTCTGAGGAATGCCGCACAGACATTTCAGCGCCTTATGCACGAAGTTACACGAAATTTAAGTTTTTGCTTTTCATATTTAGATTATTTTCTTATTGCTAATAGAACACTTGATGAACATTTCAATCATTTAAGGTTGCTTTTCGAAAGATTTGAAGAGTATGGGATAGTCTTAAATACTGAAAAATGTCAGTTTGGCCTTTCGGCGATTGAATTTTTAAGTCACAAAATTGATTAATCGGGAATTAAACCAGTAGATGAGAAAGTTCAGGCTATCAAAAATTTCCCAGTGCCTAAATCTATTCGACAGTTAAGGAAATTATAGGTTTGATAAACTTTTATAACAGATTCATATCAGATTGTGCGAAAATTCTTCAACCACTTAACGCATTGTTGTAAATGGCAAGGACAAAATCAGATGAAAATAAAATTATTGAATGGTCTTGTGAGTCTATCAAAGCATTCAATAATATTAAATCAGCTTTGTCAGATCAATGTCTGCTATTCTTTCCTAAACAAAATTCCGAAACGAGCACTATCGTAGGCGCAATTTTGCAGCAAAATATTGAGGGCAAATGGTGTCCTATTTCTTTCTTTTCAAAGAAATTTACTTCTACTGAAAAACGTTATAGTACGTTTGGTAGAGAACTTCTAGCTTTATATTTAGCCATCAGACATTTTCGCTATTTCATAGAAGGGAGACAGTTTCATATTTGGACAGATCATAAGTCATTGATTCATGCTTTATCTTTTACCTCAGATAAGTATAATCCCCGAGAAATCCGTCATTTAGATTATGTTTCAACGTTTACCACGGATATTCGATATATTCGGGGTGAATGTAATGTCGTTGCGGATGTTTTATCTAGAATGGAAATTAATTCTCTGAATTTTGATATAGATAATAAAATTAATTTTGAGGAACTTATCAAGGATCATCAGAAAGATAGTTGTAGTATGATTGATAAGTCAGTGAGACAGTTGTCAACATTTCAGTCAAAAAATGTAAGTTGTATGGAACAACTTAATGGTGTTTAAATAAAAACGTTAAATAGCAATATTCCGTAACTTGTGTATTTTATAATTTATAACATGGCGCAGTCGTGAAGAAAACTGATCTGAAGCTCTCGCGAAATGGATTTGAAACCCCCAAACTTCAATGCCGGTGAAGCCAATTCAGCTAACATCTGGCCAAAGTTTAGGCAGTCTTTTGAAATGTTTTTAGTCGCTGCAGACCTACAGAATGCTGATGAAAAACGAAAATGTTGTCTGTTGTTGCACTGCATGGGTCAGGAGGGCCTAGACATTTTCAACACACGAATTCAAATCAAATGAAGTGACAAATTTGATGTTCTTGTTGTTAAATTTAATGACTATTTTGTGCCCGAAATTAACGTAACTTACGAAAGGCACAAATTCTTTATGAGAAATCAAAAAACCGGAGAAAATTTTGGGAATTACGTGACCGAGCTAAAATCACTATCCAGCTCATGTGATTTTGGTAAATTAAAACATTCATTGATAAGAGATCGCTTGATTTGTGGTATTGAGCATTCCAAATTAAGAGAAAAACTTCTGACCGAACCTAATTTAACTCTGAGTAAGTGCATTGACTGTGCTCGTTACCGAGAGTCAAGTAACAGAAATAGCAATGGAGTCACTTGCTATAAACAAAGTTGGTCAGAAAAGGCTGGGCTCAGTGCACGACACCCAGAATCAAGAAACCCTGGAAAAGGAAAAAACAATAAAAGAATGTACAAGATGTGGATATACACACAAGGTAAATAAATGCCCAACATACAATCAAACGTGCAGAAAATGTAACAAAATAAATAATTTTGCTAAAATGTGCAAGCTAAAGCAAGTAAAGGAAATCAGCACTCAAGAAATTACCAATAATGAGGACTCAGATGAAGAAAAAGCAAATTTGGATTAGTAAATAGGGCCTGCAGAGTAGCTGAAAAGTGGACTGAAGTAGTTCAAGTCAGCAAAGCACCCAAGGTATATATTAAATTTAAATTAGATACAGGGGCCCAAGCTAGCATAATTCCCAAAGCTATATTTGAACAAATTCCTAGAGCCAAATTATTTAAATCAAATACCTAATTAATAAATTACAATGGAACTAGCATTGGAAATTTGGGCAAATGTTCTCTGGATTGCATTGTCCCAAATAAACGAATGGCCAATTTAGACTTTCTTGTTGTAGATACTGTAAATAGTCCACCAATTCTAAGATTGGAACATTGTAAAATGTTTGGGTTAACCAAAAGAACTAATAATATGTGTCTAAATGATGTTTTGTCACAATATCAGGATCTATTCACAGGTATTGGTTGCCTAAAAAAAGAGCATATCATTATTTTGAAAGAAAATGCTGCACCAGTTGCATTCGATGCTCGTAAAATTCCACTATCTATTAGAGAGAAAGTTCGAGCTGAATTAAACAGGCTAGAGAAATTAAAAATAATTGAAAAAGTGTCTGAGTCCACAGAATGGATTCATCCATTGGTTACTGTCAGAAAGCCAAATGGCAGAATCAGGTTGTGCTTAGATCCTAAAAATTTAAATCAAGCTATTAAGAGGAAATATCATCAAATTCCCACAATACGAGAAATGCTAGCTCAACTGTCAGGAGCTAGAGTTTTTAGATTGCTCGATGCAAATCAAGGCTTTTATCGGATACCTCTGAATAAATCTAGCGAAAGACTGTGTACTTTTGCAACACCTTTTGGCAGATATATGTTCTCTAGGCTGCCATTTGGTATAGCTTCAGCACCAGAAGTGTTTCAAAGGCAATTCAAACAAATTTTCGAGTAGCTAAACGGTCAAGTGTCCTATATAGATGACTTGTTAGTTTTTGGTAGAACCCAGGAAGAACATTATCAAAATTTATTAGCAGTGCTAAATAGAGCTAGAAATGAGAGTGTAAAATTCAACAGATTTTGGGCATGATTACTTAAGTCTCAAAGTTCGTACCAATTTATCAGAGTTAACAAACGATTTGAGAAAACTGCTTAACAAAAATACTGTTTTCATTTGGGAAGATAATCATACTCAAGCTCTGAATAAATTAAAACAGATATTATCTTCTACTCCAGTACTCTACAGTATCACAATGTAAATAAGCCAGTTATGTTGTTAGTAGACGCGTCAAAAAATGGTTTGGGCGCCGTTTTGCTGCAAGATAACTTGCCGGTTATTTATGCCTCCAGAGTACTGACGGAAACAGAAAAAAATGATGCCCAAATTGAGAAGGAACTTCTCGCAGTCTTTTTTGGTTGTACTCATTTCCATCAGTACATCTATGGCAAAAAAGTTATTGTAGAAAGTGACCACAAACCACTCATGTCAATTTATAAAAAACCTTTAGTAACCACACCTTTGAGGTTGCAGAGGATGTTAATTAAGTTACATTTGTATGACATAAAAATCGAATTCAAACCACAACAACTGTGAGTTTATTGCTGACTGTTTGAGTCGTAACTATTTAAATGAAATTACTGAAAATGAATTTAATTTAAATCGGAGCTCAGATTAATTTAATTGAAAAAATTCTGCCGCTCTCTCATGAAAAGTATGAAGATTTTAAATGCGAAACCAAAAATGATAAATATTTTTTTGAAATAATGAAATTAGTCAAGCAAGGGTGGCCAAATGAAAAAAATAAATTATCAGATGAGCTACAAAAATATTGGGAATATAGAGATGAAATAATAAGTTTAAATGATGTTTTGTTTAAAGGTAACAAAATTATAGTTCCGAATAATTTGAGGAACGAAATGCTTAAAATAATTCACTACAATCATCTTGGAATTACCTAATGTCAGCTGAGTCAGCTGAGAGCTCGTGAATGTTTATTTTGGCGAAACATAAACAAAGAAATTGGAAATTTTATCAAAAACTGTGAGACTTGTCTGAATTTTAGAAACTCTGATTCAGGGGAACCTCTAATCCCTTCAGAAATTGCTGGTAACCCCTGGGAGACAGTCGGAACAGATGTCTGTCATATTACAGGAAAAATTATCTTATTTTAATTGATTATTATTCTAAATTTATTGAGACTGGACATTTGGAAAAATTAGAGAGTAAGCACATAATTGATCTTTTAAAGTCTTTTTTCGCTCGTCACGGCATTCCAAATGTAATCAGACCGGATAATGGCAACAATTACAGGTCTGCAGAGTTTAAAGATTTTGTTAATTACTGGAAGATTCAGCACGTGACATCCAGTCCAACGCACGCTCAATCGAATGGCATGGTCGAGAGGTGCATTCAGACTTTCAAAAATATCATGAAAAAAGCCGAATTTGATAATAAAGATCCATACCTTTGTCTCCTGGAATACCGGAACACACCCATCGACCATGACATTCCATCGCCAGCTACTCTCTTGTTTAACAGGAAACTTAAGAGCCTTTTGCCAGAATTTAATATTTTTTGCAGAAAAGATACCTCTTATGTTTATGAGTTTAAGATTAGACAAAATAAACAAAAGTTGAATTTTGATTTACATGCCAAAAAACTACCAGAACTTAGTGATGGTGAAGGGGTGAGAGTACAAAGAATGGATAAATCCGAGTGGAAACTCGGTAAAGTTATAAGAAGATTGGATAAGCCGGGGACTTATTTAGTGGGACTTGATAATGGTGATTTGCTGGAAAGAAACAGGAAATACCTTATTGAAGATAGTGTAAGCAAAGAAGCCCCTGAACAAAAGTGTAAACCAAAAACAAAGACTCTTGGAAATAATAGACCGAAACGTGACGTTTGTCAGCCACATAAATTGTCCGATTACGTAACTAACTTATAAATAATGTTTTGTAAATAATATGTAAGTAACTTAGATCTTAGATTTTGTGAACTACCTTAAGTTTAGCTTAAAGAGAGAGGTGTAGTATGATTGATAAGTCAGTGAGACAGTTGTCAACATATTTAGTCAAAAAATGTAAGTTGAATGGAACAACTTGAGGGTGTCTTAATAAAAACGTGAGATAGCAATATCCCTTAATTTGTGTATTTTATAACAATAGTGATCTCTTATCTCTTATGCAATCAAATAAAACATCTTTAAAATTTGAAAAAGTCCTTTTTCCCTTTTGTGATAAATATTTGATTTGTGATGTAAGTTTGACTAAACCAAGACAATATATTCCAAAAAGTTTTAGAAAAAGTATCTTTGATAGGTATTTTACATTCACTATGTCATCCTGGTGCTAAAGGAACACAACGACTTATTAGCTCCCGGTTTTGTTTGGTTTGAAATGAATAAAGATATTCGGAAATGGGTAAAAGTTTGTCTGGATTGCCAAAAAAACAAAATTATCAGACACACAAAACCTAATAGGTTTGAAAATGTTAGATATTATTTACCCATTGGAAAATTCTAGAGGTTATTTTTATGTTTTAACTTATATAGATCGTTTTTATAGATGGCCGGAAGCTTTTGCACTGAGTGATATCAGTGCATCAAGTATTGCTCAAACATTTATTGCTAGATTTGGTGTTCCTTCCACTATTACAACAGAGAGAGGTCCCCAATTTCTGAACACCTGAGGTTCCTGTAAAATCAGAACCACAGCTTATCATCCTTGATCAGATGGTATTATAGAACGTTTCAACCAACAAATTAAAATTGCGTTAAAATGTCATAATAAAAAGCAATGGGTATATAGATATTCTACCATTCGTTTTGTTAGGTATTCGTACATCAGTTGAAGAAGATTTGGGCTGTACAGCTGCAGAACTTCTTTATGGTACGACACTCAAGTTACCAGGAGAATTTTTTAATGCGGATTTACAGTATGATCCTTTAACTTTTGGGCAATCTTTTAAATGTTTTATGAGGCAATTTAAATTTCTTCCTGCCCAAAAAAATTTTAGAAAGGATTTGTTTATTCCTAGAGATCTTTTAACATCGTCACATGTTTTTCGAAATATTGTAGATCAAATAATGTTGCACATCTTTTATTAGAAACATTTTTTTGTAAAATCAATAGGTACCAAGTAATCGCCAATGGCGCACTTTCAACCCCTATAGCGCAAAACGCCAGAGGGGTGAATGTTTGATATTTTCGGTTTTATGATCACCCACCCTCCCCCTGTCATCCCTGAAAAGTTCTTTTAGGTAGGATTTTTTTTTTTGAAAATCGACAATTTTCCTAGACTATTAGAGTTTTATCAAGAAACTCTTCTGTGTATACTTTGTAATGTTGTTAATTTTGATTGGATTCAAAACAAAAAAAGATAAACAAAGCTAAATAGGTATCGGAATGTCTTGACCCAAAACAAAATTTACACGAAGTGTTGCGCACCGGCAGCTGTTCATCAGTAGAGCATGGTGGGTATTATCAAAGTATTGCTTCTTTAAAATATTTAAAAAGTTAGGGCGCCACTTGATTTTTGAGAATAATAAAAAAATACTTATAATAGGACGTCGATTTCAAGTTGAATGGAACCTTTAAATCAAGAAAAAAGATTTAGTAGTCCTATTTCAATTTGGTTTCTTATCACACAACAGGCGTCAAATCAAACAATAATATCAGGTGCACTAGAAAGTTTTTATTAAAATTACCTTTTATTTTACCTTTTTCTATGGGGGATTCGCTGAAACACATTTACAGCCAGTGTAGAAAATAATAAACATGTTGCCAGGTTTATATAGGGTATTCCACAGCCTCCTACATTTAACAAGCCATGAAGTTAAAAAGGCAACACCGCAATCTTACCGCCAAGTGGTGCTGGTAGTGTTTGTTTGTATAAATATATATTTTTTATTTTATTATTATGAATCACAAAAAATGCATAATTTATTGTACTAAAGGGCCAAAAACAGTAACTCAATGAATAATTTAACTATTTGTGTAAATAAGAACAGTAAATAATTGATTTAAATGAATATATTTCTAGAGTCTAAAGTGTTATGTTTCAGTATGTCTTTTGAAAATCTAACTTTTTCTTTCTTCGGGATTTTTTCGGAAGGCAAGTCCATCAAATACTTGAGCTGATTTTCGAAAATAAGAGGTACCTACTTTTAAGAGTTGGACGTTTTAGTTTGAACTCTCGAACTACACCTTTATCCTTGTTTGTTTCAAATCTAATTATTTCGGTTTCTTCAAAATGTTTACAACACACCACAGAATTTTTCGTTATTGTATAATCTCGGGTATAATTATCTTGGTGTATTGCTTTCATCCACATTTTTTGCACTTCAGAGTTTTTTTGGAAATAAAAATGTTTGCATTTCTTCAGTTTTTAAGGAACTCCTTGTTTGGATGTTAGTTATCGAACGTACCTCTTATTTGGATGCTAGTTGTTAAGTTATCGAACGTACCCAGGATGTCAAAGAAAGGGGAGTTGACAATTGTCACCCAGTTGACAGTTGGGATTTTCTAGAATCTTGCAAAACAACTCAAAAATAAAAAGTTTAGTTTTTCCTAATTGATTGGTTGTTTTATTTGATAAACACCTAATTAAACATGGCGCAGTCTTAAAAGTGTTGTGTGGCTTGAATTTATAAGCGCAGAAAGGCAAAGTTTATTGCTGAAAACATCGCCAGAAGTTTGAGGTTAAAGTTGTTCCTCCTCCAAAGGAAAAACCACGGCCAAAAGTATAACCAATAGTGAAAATGAATGGTGGACAAGTTAAATTACCGCCAGATTTCGATCTGCAGGCCTCCAATGCAGCCACCGAGTGGAAATTTTGGCGAACCGCTTTCCAGGACTACTTAGTCTCGACAGGCCAAGATCAATCTAACCCAAGTGTGAAATTATCGATATTACGAAACATCATTGGTCATGATGCAGCCAGAATTATGGCAACATTCACAATACCTGCTGGAGTCCCTGATGTTTATGAAGCTACGATGGCAGAGATAGATAAATATGTAAATCCCAGGAAAAACGAGTGCTTTGAGAGGTACATTTTTTCCAAACGCAACCAGAAGGAGGATGAAAATTTTGACCATTTCCTGACGGATTGCCGACATCTCCTGAAAACCTGCAATTATAATGTGGTTGACCCTAATCAAACCCCTGAAGAAAAAGCCCTGCGTGACAGAATTGTTATGGGGATTCGAGATAATACAACTAGAGAAGCACTTTTGAGATTTGATGATCTCACTCTAGACAAAACAATCACATTCTGTAGGACCTCTGAACAAAGCAAGTCGCAAAGTTTACAGTTCCAGGAAAATCTAAGGGATAATGATATAAATTTTGTTAAAAAGACCAAAAAATATAAAAATTTTGAGAAAAATTCACATGAAAACAAACATAAAAAAGACCGTGATAGAGGCAGGTATGATTCATGGGCAGACAAAAAGGCATTTAAGTGCAGAAGATGTCAAACACAACATGGGTCCCTACGGCAAAAAGTGCAGCAAATGTGGCATTGAAAATCATTTTGCAGTATCGTGTCGTGTCAAAAGTGTGAGGCAAGTGAATCATAGTGAGTCAGGTTCCAATCACAGTGAAAGTGATGATGAATTTTTTGTCAATTCTGTGACAAAGCAAACAGACTCTGAGGACAGCCAATTGGTGAGTACCTTTGAAGAATATTAAAATATTGAAGGTAAAAAATTCAAGGTACGTTTAGACACAGGTGCTGATATAAGCGTTATTCCACTTCAAATTTTTAAAAAAGTAGACAAGCAATTTAGAGTTAGGCCTACTCAATATATTTTAAAGGCTTTTGAGGGTTCTCATGCGAAACCTATTGGTATTGTAAATCTACATTGTATATTTAAAAGTAGAGAAGTTTATGAAGATTTTGTCATTGTTGACGGTGTAAGACAGGTTCTTTTAGGGGGCCAGGCATGTGTAAATTTGAATTTGATAAAACGAATCAACAATGTTAACTTAAATTTAAATCAAAAGTGTCAAAATTCTGATGAAAAGGTAAAGTTTTTGGAGAAAAATTTTGAAATTTTTAATGGGTTTGGGGAGTTTCCTGGTTGGCATAATATACCGACAAAAGAAAATTTTGAGAATGTTTGTCACCCCCCTACCAAAATTCCAATTGCAATTCGAGAGCAATTTAAAAAGGAATTAGATCGTTTAATAGCAAGAAAGGCAATAGTAAAAGTTGATAAAATTGAACCCGAAGCAAGTTTAAACCGAATAGTTCTTATTGAGAAAAGTAATGGTAAAATTAGGCTATGTTTAGACCCCTCTGACATTAATTCGCAGATTATAAGAAAACCAAAATTAGGTATTAACATTGAAGAAATAGCCTCAAATTTAGGAAACAAATAATAACAAATTCACCAGCTCTTGTTCCGTTTGATCCATCCAGAAAAATGGTTCTCCAATGTGATGCTTCGAGAAATGGTTTGGGATCTTGTCTTTTTCAGGAACACGACAATATTTTAAAGCTTGTGGCATGTTCTTCAAGGTCGATGAATGACCACGAGGTCAATTATAGCCAGACTGAGAAAGAACTATTGTCAATTTTTTTTGGATGCCAAAAATATCACGAATTTATTTACAGGCAGAATGTTGATGTTCAAACAGACCACAAACCTATTATCTCGATCATGAAAAAACCAATAATTAAAATAGGATCAGTAAGACTACAAAGATTAAGGCTGAAACTTTTAAAATACTCATTAAATGTATATTATGTTCCCGGAAAAAGTTTACATTTTGCAGATATGTTGTCAAGGTCGAGTCTAACAAACCAAGACTCTTTTGATCCAGAAATGTTAGATATGGTTCATATGGTTTCAAAACATTTACCGATGAGTCAAGAAAAAAGAGACTTGTTTAGGCTGGAAACCAGCAAAGATCCAAGTTTGTTAAAACTAATTGATTTTTATTACAATGGCTGGCAAAAGGAGAACGAAATACCTGCAGATTGTAAACTTTACTACCCATTGAAAGACTCTATTTACATTGAAGCGGGCATTGTTTTTATCGAAGACAAAATAGTTGTGCCTAAAAATATCAGACTTCAGATGATGAAATTATTGCATAAAGGCCATATTGGTATCAGCAAAACATTGAACAAAGCTCGAACACTGTTCTATTGGCCTAATTTGTCAAGTGATATCACGAATTTCATAAAAAAGTGTCGTACTTGTGAGAAAAATATGCCGGCTAACTACAAAGAACCTCTCTTACCACATACTGTTCCTAGGCTTAGATTCAACAAAATTGCCACAGATATTGTAGAGCACGGTGGTAAAAATTACTTGGTAGTTATTGATCATTTTTCTCACTGGCTTGAATTAATTCCGATCAAAGACAAAACCTCTGAATCAGTTATAAATTGTTTTCAAGACATTTTTATTCGTTTTGGATACCCTGAAATTATAATTGCAGATAATTTACCTTTCGTTTCAAGTCGTTGTAAAAGATATTAGAGAGTTTTCGTTGTCTTCTAAAAGCGATTCCGATAGCCGCTATTTGACAACTATGACATTTGAGTTGTCATTTATCGTTATCGTTACCGATAAGTGCCGGGAGCTAACGGACGGAAGACAAAACCACAGCGAAAACGGAATGTAGGCGTTTTCCATTTTTTTTGGTAGATGCAGTCAGCATAACCCTATTTTTTTGTTGTGGTTTGTTGTTTGTTTTTTGTTTTTGTAATTAAATGTTTTTGGTTTGGGTCGAAACGAAATGGACTCAGCATTAAATTCCCTAAAAAGATCAAGAAATCGATTTACGGATGAGGATGACATCATTTTGTTAGAGGAAATATTAGCCAACAATCCATATGGCGATGTATCCAAATAGGCCTTGGTAGTAGCCAATTTTGTAAGAACCACAGGAAAAGAAGTATCATTGAGAGGGGTTAGGGAACATATAACTTACATCATAAATAAATTCGAAAAGAAAGAAAAAGAAAACCTATATCGGTGAGTATATTTTATTTGCATATGTTTATTTGCCATTTATTTTGCTAATGCAATCTTTTCCACTACATAGTGTTCATCTTTTCTTGTCATTCAACACAAACTGTTGAATCCTGTACCTATATTTTTTTTTATATTTTCAGATCTGGAGTTGAAGAACCCTATAATCGAATCGATCAGTTGCTACAGGAAGTTCTGGATCTCATAAATTCAATTTTGAAGAAAAAGGAAAAATTGAAAATTATAAGTAAATCATCAGAAAATGCAAAGGCTTTAAGGGACGATTTTGCCAGGAAATTGGTAGAGCCTGTAGAAACAGTTTGTTTAGATTCTCCCCAAAATTCCATCGAGTATGAATTTATAGTAGGTAAGTCAAATTCACTTAGTAGGTGAAAAATCTTGTAGGCAAAAAATGTTCAAATAATAGTTATTTATAAACCAAGTGAGTTAAATGAGAAGGAAGTTTATTCCACGAGCCCTTGGGGTGGATGGGATCCTTTCTTTAAATGAATGAACATTTTTAACCTTTGGTTATGTTTTTAACTTTGTTCTATGTTTAAGTCACAACTACTTAAATGTGATAACTTTTCAAAATAGTGTTGAACCCTTGGTTGAACCTTATTTTTAACATTTATCGACCTGCATTTTGACATATTACATAAGTACCTTAATCTGAATTTGTTTAGGATCATGATGTTTTTTTATTATTATTTTCATAGATGAATATCAAGGAAACGCCGCTGAGGAACTAGGGGTAGATCCAAGAGACAAAGAAATTCTACCAGAATCTGAGTCACGAGCTGAGACAACACGTGAACAAACTGTCATTGGAGAAGCTCAGAAAAATATTCAAGGTAAATAGTGTGGACAGTACAGTTATTAATATTATGGTTATTTGATTAGTTTTCACAATAACTAAACTAACTAATTACTTTATATCTAATGTGATAAATAGACAAGTACTTAATGCATTTCAATATTGAAATAATTTGTAATATCCAAGTTCACATGTACTTTTTCTTTTCAGGCCCAAATCGAAAAAGGAAAGCCCGTATTACTCAGAGGAACATTAAGAAATCAACAATGGAATATTTGGAGGAAAAAAATTCATCAAAAACGACATTGAAAGAAAAAGAATTGGAAGTAGAGGAAAAAAGACTGCAATTGGAAAGGGAAAAGTTAGAATTTGAAAAGGAGAAATTTGAAATGGAGAAACAAGAGAGAAAAGCTCTGATGCAGCTTTTGGAAAAACAGCAGCTTTTCCTGACTGGTTTGATGGAGACTGTTATTGCTAAAAACATTACATTCACATAGTTTAAAAAACCCCTCTCAATGATACTTTAAAAAAATTGATTATTACCAATGCTCATTATGTACATTGACATACTGTTTAGGCACTTGTTTTCTTTAATATTGATTTTATGTTCTGTTATTTCTGTTTCTTTTTTTTTTAGAAAGTTGATATTTAGTTTAGTAGTAGTCGGGGTAGTATTATTTTTGTGATAAGATGTTCATGATCTATTTAATGGATTTTCGAATGGAGTTTATTTTCAGTTTACTGCTAGTCATTGTTTTGCAGTGCTCAAACTTTGCAACTACATATTATTTATAGTTGCAATGAAATTAAATAGGTTTCAAGCGGGTTTATATGATGTATATTATGTTTTCTTGTTTTTGAGGAGAAAAAATAAATATTTTGTTGACAGTGTTCCATACTTTTTATTTATAAGTATATACTTATCTGCTAATTTACACTTTCAGGTACACCACTTTGAAAAAAAGTAGTAGGTATAAGGTATACAAAATAATATTATCATCAATAAGAAATAAAAATATATATTTTTTATTAATAAACTCAGGAAAATTTCTATAGCTATATATTGTTTGTGGGGATATTATGGCCAATATAAAAGAAAGACTATTTTTTTCTGGTAAAGCTTTCAAAGTTTATTTAACCTCTTCAGTACAACTAAAAAATTATATGTATAATAGGAAACAATATAAAAGTGATAGATACTCACAAAAGCGAGTTCAAAATAAGTTTCTTAATAATTATAAATCTTGTATAAACATCCCTCAGCATTTTTGGGAATGTTTATGCTAGATTCATATTTTAAGAACTATTGTGAACTGGCTTTTTCAAGAATCCATTGATTTTTATTACATATTTTTTTCAGTCGTACTGAAGAAGTTAAATACCTAAACTTCGAAAGCTTTACAAGAAAAAAAAGAGCCTTTCTTTCATATTGACCATATCCCCAAAAATAATTTTTAACATTTTTTTATTAATGATACATCCAATAAACACAAAGAATTTTCAGTTACATCGATTGCTTGCTTACCAAAACATTATGAAAACAAAACCTTGAGTTGTGGAACTAGAAATAATTTTAAAAAGAAAAACAAATACAATACAAATTGTCTCAATTACCTATTGTGAGAAAATTGAAAAATAATGATATCTTATTGTAGATATTCTTCTAATTCTACAGGATTCACATTAAAAGTCTGTGCTGTTTGGTTACTGTATAAACAAGAATGACAATTGGTCAAAATCACAGCAACCATGTATAGGTTTCCGACCTCTTGCAGAAGCAACTTTTGGTTTTTTTTAAAGTCCATGAACGCAAATTCTGAAATTACTTTTCCAAATCCCCACTCTACAGCTATCCGTACTCTACTCATACGAACGTTGAAGAGTTGGTGCTCTGGAGCCATGTTACCACGATTTGGATATGGACACATAAGTAGTTCGCGCATTCCATATGCTTTATCTCCATACAATATAAAATATTCTTCTTGGAACCTTGTCCTCTCTTCTAACTGGTCATAGAGCTGGGACTCTCTTAATATCCCAGCATCATGCTTTCTACCCTCATATGCACCTTTCAAACTGACTACAAGCCCATCAGGACATGTAACAGCTTGGTATTTTACACAGTGGTGGCGCTTATGACCGGAGTAATAGGCTTCTTGATTCAAAGACGGTCGGCAAATCCCCCGAGTGGTACCATCTATGAATCCCCAACAGTTGGGTATGGGGGCTCCTTTTTCGTGAATGGCATTTGCATACGTCCTTAGACGTTCTTGGTTTAACCACTGAAGATTCCTTAAATTAGTCAGTAGGTGTCCAAAATTTTCATAAATATGGTGCGTCATGAAGTCAATGATGTTTGAGAGGGCTGAAGCTGAACGCCCAAAAAACACTTCCAAATCAACTAGCCTACTAGGGTAACTCAATCTTCGCAACAAAATGCAGAGCCCTTCCAAGCCAGAAACATTATGGCTGTTCTCTGTAATAACATTCTCAGGAATCCTAAGGGCTTCAGTAAGTCTTCTTAGGTGATTTTTCTCAAATCGGAAATAACTTTTACACTCAGTATCATTATAGTTATCTAAATTGAAATTTCCATATAACTGTGCTCGATATTGAATGTCCTGGCGATCAAGCACCTCCAAGAGAAGAGCATCATCTAAATCTGAATCTGAATCACTGGACGAGTCCAATAAGAGCAACATTTCGTTAATCATGATAAATTTCGCGTAAGTACTGGTACTAGAAAATTGGAATTTATAACGAAGCAAAAAAGTAGCAAAACAGTAGCACAAAACCTCTATGCACAAAACATATACAAACAATGTTTGTCAAACATAAACAAACCACTAAAGATAGGTTATGTTACATTTGTCGAATTCGACTTAACGTTAACGTTAAGCGAATTGAACGAAAACTATTTTTGCGATCTGTCAAATAGCGGCTTCGTATTCGTATTCGTTATGGTTAACCGTTCGAATTTGCCAATACAACGAAAACTCTCTATTATAAGAGCAAAGATATTATTATAACTACTTGTTCTCCACACTATCATCAAAGCAATGGCATGGCTGAGAAAGCAGTTAGTATTTCTAAACAAATTTTGAGAAAATGCTTTGATGATGGGTCCGATTTTAGGGAAGGTGTAATGGCATACAATAATTCACCAATTATAAGCCTTTGTGCTACACCTAGCCAAATATTAAATAGTAGAATTTTAAGGTCAGAGTTACCAATCACTTCAAACAAGTTAGAACCAGTAATTCAACATGGAATTTATGAAAAATTGTGTCAACAAAAAATTATTACCAAACAAAACTATGATAAACTTGTTCGAAGGGATCCGTTGGAATACAGCAAGGGCGATAGTATAGTGATTAAAACACCAAAAGAAAAAACTTGGGAAAAAGCTATTGTCATTGAAAAAGCTAAAGAACCCCGATCATTTTGGGTTAAAAAAGAAAGGAATGGTCAGATTGTAAGACGCAATACTACTCAAATGAAACCGTCTTACACTAAGTCTGACTACAAATTTATTTGTGAACCGAAGCTGTATCCCGACGGGCTGTTTGAAGAAACTCATCCTAATAATATTGTACACTATAATCATCGTAATTATAGAGTATCTCCACATGTTTCTTCCAACAGTAGTCCTAACTCTGTAAGATCTACCAGTAACTATAATACACCTCAAAGTACTCCTGTTAGCTCTCCAAGTATTTCACCAGAAAGTACATCAACAAATATATTGAGGCATTCTGGTGGAAATATTTATAATGGTGATGTTGAGTTTAAACGCTCCCGATTTGGTCGTGTTGTTAAACCTCCCCGACGATTAAATCTTTGAGGGGAAGGTGTTTGGATGTTAGTTATCGAACGTACCTCTTATTTGGATGCTAGTTGTTAAGTTATCGAACGTACCCAGGATGTCAAAGAAAGGGGAGTTGACAATTGTCACCCAGTTGACAGTTGGGATTTTCTAGAATCTTGCAAAACAACTCAAAAATAAAAAGTTTAGTTTTTCCTAATTGATTGGTTGTTTTATTTGATAAACACCTAATTAAACACTCCTAATAGTTCGATTTGCACCCAGGAACACAGTAGTTTCATGGCATCTGGAACAAGTTTAAATATCTTAGGTAATATATCGAGAACTATGCTCTTGCAGACAAATATTAGTATTGTTTTTATTCTTTTACCTTACCTTACCTTCATTTTTGCTCCTGTACCCATTTGCTAAAAATTTGCAATCAAAGCACAAAGGAACAGGTATCAACTAAATATGGGCAATATATTGGTGTGTTTCTATCCACTTTTTCGTCAATAATGCCCATAAAAATACTAAATTGCAACAATACACAATGAAAGCAATACACAGAAACACATAACCCAATAACAAAATAGCACCATACGCGACGTTGCCGTCATTTCCAACTTCATGGCTTGTTAACTATAGGAGGCTGTGGGTATTCCAATAAGAGGTTTCGAATGTTTTGTTTTGCTACTCTTCTTATCTCAAACTTTGTTTATTTTATTCGGTTTTTATTTCAATGTGGAATTCAGTACAATTTCAGCAACGGAGCGCTACAAAGTAGAACAACGTGTTTACATTGGTAAAGCGTATTTTCAAAATGGGTCTGCTGTGAGAGCCACCTTCCGGCAAATTCGTACAGTAGACGGAGAACGATACCGAACGATGATTGATGTTTTTTTTATGGGATCAAATAATGGACATGGATATAGAGAATATGTGGTTCCAACAAGATGGTGCGACATGTCATACAGCACGTGAAACAGTAACTTTATTGCGTACACAGTTTAGAGGGAGGCTTATTATCTCCAGGAATAGGGACGTAAATTTGCCATCAAGATCATGCGACTTGACGCCGCTAGATTTTTTTTTTTGGGGCTATGTGAAGAGCAAAGCTTACGAAAATAATCCGCAAACCATTCAACAATTGAAAAAATAAATTGGGCGTATAATTCGTGACATAACTCCACAAATGTGTTCAGCAGTAGTGGAAAACTTCAACAAAAGAATTGTGTGCTGCCAGAGAAGTCGTAGTGGTCATTTTGCAGATATTGTATTCCACGTATAATTGTACACTGTCCAGCTACACACTGCCATAAATAACTTTTAGGTATGTTATGAAACTTTTATTTTATTCGTTACCAACATTCGAAACCTCTTATTGGAATACCCTATACTTTGAAATAAATTGGCAATTATTTAACCAAAAAAAAATTACTTACTTAAAATACATAAGTATGATGCAATATGATGGCATCATAAAATTTGATCAAAGGTACCTTTGACTAACACTTTTATGTCTTAGTCACAACAAAAAAAATATAATTTTCTATTGATCAGAAGGATCAATTTTCTAAATAAATGTATCCCATATTTTACAAAAAAATATTAACTGATTTATAAAACAACTATACCAAATCCCATAAAACAACTATACCAAATCCCATACGGTAAAAAAAAGCTATACTTTAAAAATCTTTGACAAACAGGCAATTAAAGAAAATATTGTTTTAAATTTAAATCCCCAACTTAACATATAAAAGCATGGTAATTATTACCAAAGAAATTACCTAATATGGTCGATAAAAAAATTATATTGTCCCACATGGCGATAATTTTTTTTTATAAATTGTACGTCACCAAATCATTATGTTTCTTCGTTTTTCTCGGCAATCGGCACTGGTTAATTACCATTTTATTGATAGTCTCGAAGCAAACCATCTAGTAGGTACGACAGGTAAGTAAGTGCGTCAAATATGTGGGTACATTAAACGGCATGGCGGCAGGCTTACCAATTGAATTTGGCAAGCATCAAAAAAACGGAAAAGGTACGATAGATTCGATAGATTTGGGGTCTTTCAAAAGAAGTCCTAAAACAATTACAGGGAAGTCTTAGTTTTAGTGTAAAAGCAAATTAAAAGGGTCGAAAAAGTTGGATTACGAAAAACCTGGTTAATGAAAAATTAAATAAGAAAACTCACCTAAAAAATAGGACGGCGGCACCAAAAAAAATTAATTAACGGTAAGGCAAGGCTACTTAGGCATCTTGCCTAAAGCAGACAGTTCGGTATTTCTTTTTGTGAAAATTAATTTCAAAAAATGTTTTGAAAATTACACGTGCGCTTCCATAGCGATCTCGGAAGCGAGAGAACGTCTAAAGAACCACTTGATTTCAACATGGCCTCTGGTCAGAAAAAAAATGACAACCCCTAAATGTTTTACTAACTTTTGCACAATGTGGCATCTGAGTTGAACCTTGAAAACATGAAAATAAGTAGGAAAGACATTCAAATTCGGCATCCTAATATATGAAAATTAGTTAATTATTCATAAAAAATAAATAAAAGAAATCAGAAATAATGCCAACATTCGTAATCAGAAACACAACTTTCGTTGTTGGTGAAATTTACTTTCTATAATAATTCAAAATCTTCGGATTTTCATAATTGACAGATGGAGATAAAACGTTTAAATTTCGCAAGAAAATAGGGACAAGAGTGTGGAAATTTGCAGCTAACGAACGAAAACAAACAATAAGGTGCAGCAGGTTAAAATTTGGACGAGATTTATCAAAGGTAAATGAAAATTGAATGTTATTTGAAGATGTAAACATTGACTAAATTTCTTGTTTTTGTTTTAGCTATAAAATTTTTAGGAACAAAAGAATGTAACTGATTATCAAAATGCATGATGCTTGAAGATAGGAGATTATAGTTTCAATGGAAAATCAAGGAAAAACGGTTTGGAAATATCCAGAAAATGTGAATGAAAATTTGTGTGTCCTGAACTTTCAAGGTCTGCAGATACTATTGCTAATGGATATTGAGGAATATTTTGAGGTAATTAGGGGAGGTTGGCTTTTAGACAATTAACCATAGTACTATATTTAAGAAATCTAACAGAAAAATTCAAAAACTATTTATTTAGAAAACTCCTATTCGTTCACTTTTCAGGAGCAACCAGGAATACACATATCGACATGCCGGGATGCCTACATACCTACAAGACTGTTTCCATGACGTCATAGCAGAGGAAGAAAATATATTTATATTTAAGAAACAAAATAATTATCTTGTATTGTACCTATTCAAATTATTAAAGAAATGAGAAGTTAAATTCACTGTTTTTATAAAACGACCCAAAAACGACAGACAGTTCTATTCAAACTGATATGTTCTTATAGTGTAAATAACAAAATTTGTTAATTTTATTGATTTATCAATAATTAATAATTATTAATTTTTAAACATTATGTTGTAACATTTGGAATGTTACAACTTTGGATATAAACGGAAAATTATCTACTATTTCTATTGAAAAACTTAAACCAGCTTACTTTGAATGAAAATTAAACTGAGATTCTTGTTGGCAAAGCACTCATTTTCTGTTATTGGGGGAGGGTAGTGTAGCGATATTGATTATAATACCCATACATTATATCAGTAAAAGTATAGAGGTAATTCAGAATTTGTGAAGTTGAGAGATGAGTCTTGTCATTAATTTAGTTTAGCATTTACCATCTTCCAAGAAATATAAATTATAATTTAGAAAAGTAGTCGTTGTTATTGGTAATATACCTCAAACACTACATATGTATTACAAAAAAGTAGTTACGTTATATATAAACCAGGATAAGTCTATCTGTCGCCGCTGGTCACTGAGAATCGGTCATTTCCCCAAGTGCACTAAATGAAGTAGGCGCTTCCCAAAAAAATGGAGTTAAGCTTAGTTGTCGCCACGGTTGCCACTAAATTTAGGTTCGAGTTTTAGAGATATTCGACTTATGGGAAAAAAACTACACAGTGAGGATGTGAAAACGTATTTGTTTGTGTGGAATATTCGTTGTTTTTCAATGAAAACACGAATGCCGTGCGAAGGGTTCGGAAGTGAGGTACTTACTAGCTGCATTGCCGCGCCGTCGAGATACCTACCTCAAAAAAAAAAAAACAATTCGTAAACTCCAAATAGTTTTGTCCACTGGACACTTCACAACAAAGCCTTCATCAAGCGAATTTTTTTTAAATGAAGCAGTGATGTTTAGGAAGCTCTACAGTACCTCACCGCGCTGACGGAGTACCTCAACCACAAAAAAACTTGAACGAATCGGAAGGAAGATTTCGGGAATTTCATTTTCACACCGTCGCATTGGAGTACCTCAAAAAAAATGAACCAAGAGCAGAACCCAGAGGGACCCCACACGAAAATACAGTTTTGTTGGAAGCCGTTACACTCAAGCTTCTGCAACAGTATTCCGTGATTCACGCAGACAGAGGGCTTTGACAAATCCCAGAAAACTGCTGACGAAGCCTCCTCACCATTTAGTTTGATGTAGAGACACTCCATAAATGAATATGTCGCATCATCGTTATTTTTATCATTCTTAGAACAAAATTCAGATGTGCATTCAATTTTGTATTTATCTAGAAAGGCCAACGAGGAGCCCGAGGGTAATATAGAAGTTGAGCAAAATTCAGACACACTAAATATTCCAACAAGACTTTTGGCAGATAGCCAACTCGTTAATGTATCTGTGGACGAAAATCCCCGAACATCAGGTATCCAAAAGCAACTAAATTTTTCAGTGGGCGAAAATCCTGGAATATCAGGTATGCGAAAAACCTGGAACATCAGGTACCTATCAAAAAAATATCCACAAATTCATTCAATAATTTCGGCTAAAAATTAAAATCCAGCATTTTCAAATTTTGAAAAGCGCTCATATCAATTCCACGGGCAATTAAAAAACTCAGTCACTATGAACACTTGTCGCCGTCGTGGGGGAACAGTCGTGTGTGTAAACAGAAACTCCGTATAAGACAGAGCTAGATTCTATATCAATAAAAAGTAAAAATGTTGTTAAAAGAAAAATTGGACATATTGCCAAGGTCTCGAAACCGAAAGTGACTAAAAGAGATGTTTCCGCTTCAAATAAAAAAAAAAGATAGTGTCCGAGATTTTATTTCATCTTCATCAGAGGAAGACAAAGATTCCATGCCAGACACCTCTTGTCTGTATTGCAATTATTTAGGTATTTTCCAACTCCAAATCTGAAGAGGAATGGATCCAGTGCTCTTCTCTTGCAAAAATTGGAGTCATGAAGCGTGTTCTGAAACTTCTTAGTTCCGTTTTGTACGAACGGTAGTAGAAAATGAGGTGAAATATGTGTAAAATTTCACAATATCGTTAAACAAAATTTGGATTTTGTTCCAACTTCTGCATGTATTGGCAAAATTGTAATCTCTCCCGCTTATTGTTTTTACTTAAAAAGTATACTTTTGTAAATTAAAATAGTCGAAATGTATATTTTTTTAACGTATTTTTCATTTTTTAATATTTCATAACTGAAATTTTACTAGCAGGGGAAATAAAATGCGTGGGACTTTCTACAAATAAATTATAATCAAGCTATATTTAGATATTGAGTTAAAATTTCACCATTTTTGAGTTTTTTAGTCGAATAAATACATTTACAAAAGTATTTTCAGTTGGTGTTTGACGGTTTCCGTATGCCCTACGGTATCTTTGTTTTGCTAACTTTTATTCTACTGTCAAATAAATAAAATATAAAATTTTTCTTGTTACCTACTTCAATTATGTAAATGCAATTGAAGAAATATGTGAATTCTGGCAGAAATATCACCTTATTCTGTTCTGTGTTACTAAGTTGCTAATGGCCGTTTCCACCAACTATTTTAGGGAAGCCTTAACGATAAGTATTCCCTAAATTGACAATTCTCCATGTAAAAATGTCATTTTAGGGAATACTTATCGTTAAGGCTCCCCTTAAATAGTTGGTGGAAATGGCCATAAGTGACATATAATAGCAATAATAATCCTAATAATACCAGTATCGAATTATTTAGGTAACAAAAATTCTAATTTTGAAATATCATACTTATCATGTTTCAAAAAATTGCAATATTTCGGAAACAGTTTAAGATAGGTAGGTATGTAATATTATGAATGAAAAAGATCTAGAATTTCCTGGAGCATCAAAAAATTTAATAGTATACAGGGTGTTTCATTTAAAAACTAGTAGATATTATGGTCAAAACCGTCAAATAAAAAGTCACCTATTGGTCAAAATGTGGCAAATGACCCTTTAAAGAAATTAAAACTTGACTACAATCTCATGTTTCAGTTCTTCGCTAAGCTTTGTTCGTTACGAATGTACAAACTTACTCAGTTATGGCTTCATCACTGGCAACTCGGCACAATACCCCCCGATCCATTGAACATTTACCAGTGACGGGATCAGGTGGGGCCAGTTTGATATACGGCGGTTCTTCAAGAAATGTAATTTTCAAATGAAATTTCTCAGGCACTCCCTGAGGTGGAGTGTGGCTGTTGCCTGGCCAGACAATATCTTTGATATCCAGTCCTTCTTTCTGCCATGATTTCCAAACTCCTATCTGTAACACGATAAACCAAATAAGAATCTAGAAAAATCCAAAATTTAAATATTTCACATAGAATAGACTGTGGCCCCTTTTGTTAATGAATTAATAAGAGGCCTATAATATGCTCAGTTTGCTCAGCGAATAATTATTAGGGGTAATTGGTAATTCTGAAAAGGAAATAAATACGGCATATAACTCAACCAAATCTTGACACAGGTAAACCAATCAAAAAATTAAGTAAGTTTCAAATTAAATTAGTGTATTTTTCACAGTGACGTTAAAAATCAAGAACTAAGTAGGTAATTTTGAAAGATAAAACCAATTGTTGGTAAAACACTTTAATCAAATCAATAAAGCGGTTTCACCGAGAGAAAAAAAGAAGGCTGTTATAACTAAAAAAATAGTAATTGTCACTAAGGAGTCTGCATAAAATAGAGGACAGCTCCGGCCTGTAGTTATAATAACCATTTTAAGTTAGTTGGTGATCGAATGACCTTCATAGTTGTACCAAATAGGCTCTTAGTTATTTCCACTTTAGGAGAGGCTGCAACAACCAATATCACTTAGTTGCTTGTTGCTTTCACTACATAAATTAGTTGTAGGACCTGAATTTGTTTGAAAATAACCAATATTTGGTCTGCAACAAAAAATTGTCTGGGCTAACTCAACTAATATTTTTAGTTGAAGCAAACAAAAAATAACTATTGCACCCAATATTATTAGTTAGCAGAATCAATATTCCGGGTTGCATCGACTGATTTATGTAGTAAATGCTTAGTAGTGGTAGCTGATATGATTCGCTAAAATAAATTAAAGTAGCTGCAGCAGCCATAATTTTGTGTTGGCAGAATCAACATTCAGGCTGGAGCCACTAGGTCCCATGGCTAACTTTACCTTTTTATTCAGTAATAATAACTGATATTTTTAGTTGGAACAAAAAGAGAAAATCTATAATAGCAGTTCATTGATTTATTCAACAATAACAATATTAATTTGAGGATGAAGGCAACTTTAGAAAAACAAGTTATTATTTATAAAATTCTTAAAAATACATAATCTTTTTTTCTACCTGTTTTGAAAAAGAACATTGAATTGAATCACTAACTTCTTTTATAAAACTTTAGTCTCTGAGAAAGCGGTTGATAATAAAGAGAACTAAATCGTATGTTTGGAACATATTTATTACTAAGGTAAGCAATGGTTGTATATTACAGTTATCAGACCAATGATAACCTATGGCTCTGTGTTATGGTGGGGTTAGGCGAATCAGAAAAGTGTTCAAACCACACTTAGTAGACTGCAGAGAATGGCTTCCCTGGCGATAACGGGAGCGTTCCGCACCACGCCTACAGCAGTTATGAAAGTGCTCATAAACCTAACTCTTTTTCACATATACGTGCAGAGGAAAGCAATGAGAACAACCTATCGGCTTATCATGCTTCAAAAAGCACTTTAAAGGGAGGAAGCGCAATGCAACACACGGTTATGCACGAAATAAATCGACGTGGCACACTTAGCATGCCTATTGACATATTGCCAAAGAAACCCTTTTTTTTGCCTTTGGTTTGCCCTTTAAAACGATGATTCCCAACAGAGAGCTTTTATGGGCCAGCGACAGGACCGAGCTTCTGAAGGCAGATCTCTGCCTGTACATAGATGGCTCCAAAACTAAACATGATGTCGGAGCAGGGGTCTATGGTGAAGAACAAAGGCTGGGAATTTTGATCAGCCTTGGCAAAAACGCATCCATATTCCAGGCAGAATTGCAGGGCATCGAGCTATCCGTGTTGAAGCTGCTGGAAACGCAACAGACGCACAAATCGATAAAAATATTTTCGATAGCCAGGCTGCGCTGAAAGCACTGGCATCCATACGTGGCACGTCAATAACAATAGGGAACTGTAAACAAGCCCTCACCCAGCTACGGGAAAACTACAACGTCTCACTAGTCTGGATACCGAGACATATCGGACAAATAGGAAGGAAACGAAAAAGCGGACCAACTTGCGCTGGATCTGAGCTTAACTTCATTGGACCGGAGCCAGTACTGGGAATAGCCCCGAATACGGCCAACCACACAATCTCGACCTGGACCAATTCGAAGGCCCAACAATATTGGTCGAGATTGCCAGGCATGAATCATGCACAATTCTTGTACCCTTCCCAAAAGGGAAAAAATTGGTAGACATACTTCTTGGAATAAAGAAGAAGAGCCTCAAAGCCCTGGTGAGTCTGTACACTGCACACTGCAGACTCCGGTATCATGCACAGGATCAGAATAGCACAAAGTGCCGAGTGTCGCCTGTGCATGGAAGAGGACGTAACTGCAGAACATGTCCTATGTACGTGTGCGGCAATAGCTAGATTCAGGCACGCTGTTTTCGGGGAGTTAGCTGTTGGACCTAAATATATGAAGCATGTATGAGCCAAAATAGACCGCAGGTAGTAGTGGAAGGGACGAAATCGGACCACGCACAAGAATCCTAACCTAACCTCTATCGGCAACGATCTATTGAAGTAAAATTCTAAAACAAAACTATTGCGGTTAAGGTGATGGTTTTATTTGAACAAAGGAAAAAGATAACAAGAAACAAGTGGGCTAAACTATTGCTTTTTTCGCTAGGTCCGGGATAGAAGCAATCTTTTAAGCAATCCTGCAGCCATTCAGTTTCGCAAAACAGGGTATAAAATTTACATTTTAATCCCTGGAAGTGCAAAAACATATTTTTTTTTATGCAATAATGCACATTAAAATAGACTTTTGCGCGTTCAAAGAAAGCACAGAATTACATTCTTTCGGAGAATTTTATCTGGCTCTTGTGTGATGTTTGCTGATATTGCCGCTCGCTTAGTTTTAAATTCGAACAAAATTGGATGGTAACTGGAACCGGACTGCGAACGACCCACACGAATCAAATTCTCTATGTATTTATCGGAAAAGTGATTACGAATGCATTTGAGCTGTGAAAATCTGAATCGACATCGTACCGGAATCGTGCTCTATCCTCCATTCTTGATGTACTTACTTAGCTATACTAAGTGGCATTTTTTTTCTTTTCCAACTTTTATGAAAATTTTAAACAGCACTGTTTCTCCAATAAATCTTCTGTATGTTGTTCGTGTTGCATTTAGGCAAGAAAAATAAATATTTGTGATAAATGTACGAAAACGGATGTTTATTTACGCACCCAATAAAAAGAACGGTACAAAATTTCGGAACATTTTCCATCTGGAAAATCCATACTATTTTCATGGATGCCGGGTTCACTGAAACTCACTTACTTATTACAACGATCTATTAATAGTCGTAATCTCACTCGGGATTTAGCTAGAAAAACATCGAATCGAACATGTTAGAATTCCAGGAAGAGGCAGGCGCACTGCCCGACCTATGTAAGTACCTAATTTCTTGGCGCCAGGTTGACGATGCATTCTCGTAACACTGCCGCTCTCCTAAATCAGATCATTCCATACTGGTGTTAGCTTGGGAGATCCACCTTTCTTCCTATGAGGATAATAGAGCCAAACTTTGTCATTCGCCTGGAAACCTGTAGAGTTTGCCTTAGGGTCATATCTGGTTTTCATTCGATCGCTTGCGAACTCTGTCCTTTTTCTAACTATGTCACGGATTTCAAGCAGCCTTTTTCGCATATCGTCAGCATAGTCTTCGGCTTCTATGTCGGCGGCGACATCTGGTGACCCGATCTCCAAGTCACAGGATAAACGAAGGTTCCTTCCAGACAAAACTTTGGCTGGTAATTCCTGTTGTATGGCTGACATGTATGCCATCAGAAATAGAGGTATATGCTCAATCATCTTGATGCTTGATAACTGCTTTGGAGAGATGATCCTCGATTGTCCCGTTGAATCTTTCAACCATGCCATCTGATTGTGGATGCAATGCCGTGGTTTTGGTCTTGTGAATGGCTAACAGTTTTTGAAATGGTCGTGAGTTATAGACATGAACCAATACGTAAACTGCCAATACCGGGAATATATAGCTCGACTCAGCATAATCATAGAATAAGCATATTTTGTATTTTATTATTTCATGGGAGCTTTTTACATAGAATAAGTTTAGTCTTTAGTCACACACTGTACCAGTAAGTTAAGTCTTATTAAAAATAAATCTTTTTTTGAAAAGCATTCTACTGGTTTGAGTATTTAACTCGTGACTTGAAACTAAATGTATGTATGTTCGGAAGGAAAATAACAATTTTGGGAATATACGGTGTGAACGACGACGAACCCGTTAATATAAAGGATCTATTTTATCAACAATTAAGTGACCAAATCATAAAAGTAGGAACTTCAAGGGAAATAATATTGCTGGGAGACTTTAACGGACGAACAGGAAGGAAAATCAACGACAAAGTAGTCGGAAAATTTGGAGAGAATGTAACAAACAATAATGGAGAAAGGCTCATAGCAATATGCCAACAAAATAACCCAAAAATCCTAAACGGTTACTTTCAGCATAAAGAAATACATAGGTACACATGGAGAAATGAAACTAGACAACCAAAATCGATTATTGACTACACTATCGCAAAACAGAGCTCGAACATAAAGATGTGAGAGCATATAGAGGAGCGACCTGTGCTAGCGATCACTACCTCCTGAAAACAAAAATTATTATCCCGGGCAGAAACACCGCAAAAGAAAATGGAATGGAAAAACAAGAAGACAATAATGTGCCTGAGAAATACAACCTAAAATCTCTAGAAGAGCAAAGCGTAAAGGGGTTGTACATGAAGAGATTGGATCAAAAATTACAGAGTAGTATAAACTTCCAAAACCTTGAAATGCATTACCAACATATCAAAGAGATTATTCACAGTGCAGCATTTGAAGCTCTAGGCAAATATGAAAAAAATGGAAGAAGGCTCTCACCTTATTGGTGGGATCAAGAAATAGAGCAAGACATACCAGATAAAAGGAAGAAATACTAACAGTTTCTAAGTTCAAATAAGACACGAGACAAATAAATATATAAAGAAGCACAAGCAAGA